TTTTGCTAAAATCCAATAGTAGGCTTAAACAATTTAGAGCTAAAAATTAACATAAACATGGCAATCTCACCATGTACAAATTTACAATATCTATTTAGGAATAAGTAAACATTCACAAAAACAAAATAATAATTTTTGTTCTTACCATTTTCACCGTATCCCCTCTAGCCTCTGAGTTTTGATTATATACTTCAATCAATTTGTCTAAAGGCACTAACCTTTGTTGTAAAATTTTAATATCACAACATACTAAATAGAAGAAATTCAAATGTCCATACTTAATAATTAAATTAGCATATAGTATATGTATTTATGTTTATATATATATTTATATGTTTATATATATGTTTATATATATATATATATATATATATATATATATATATATATATATATATATATATATATTTGAAATATTAAATTATAATTAAATATATGAAATATTAAATTATAATTTAGTATAAAATTAAGCCAACAGAAATTAAAGAAGTAAAATGATTGAAGACAGAACTAAGCTTTACGTAAGAACTCAGTCTAAATGTTCTTAAAATGTAACAATGTCTCAATGTATACAAACACACTATATCTTTGTTGCAATTCTTTAAAAATCACTGCATATATTTTAATATTTTAAAAAACCTGTACCTTTAACAATAATCCTTCTAACGTGTTTTGTGATTGTCTGTTGTTTTGCAATCCATCTTTCATTTTAGCAGATATCAAATCAGAATGCCTTTTAATTTCTTGTGTTACATGATCTGTTTTATCTGTGTAAACTCTCATCTCTTTATTTAGTGTGTGCAGGTTGTTTTCATATTCTTTCATATCTAGAGACAGTTTCTCTAGTGATTTGTCTGTGTCTGATTCTTTTAACTTCAAACTGTCAATTTGTTCATTTAGCGCTTTTATTTTGGTATCTTGCTCAATTATTTGTTCCTCTTGGGTTTTAAAGTTATCTTTAAGATTGTTCGACAATTCTTCCATATTTATCCACAAGGTACTTTGTTCTGCTACAAATTTATCTCTCCATTGTTTTATTTCTGATATGTCATCTTCAGTCTTTTGTTTTGTGTCTTGTAGATGATTTAAGGTTATTTCAATTTCCTTCAGTCTTCTTATTGTTTCAGAATTACATACACCTGTTAGATTTATGTAAAATGGGGTAACAAAAGTATGAATGACCAAACATATAATTATTAAATTAACATTTTGCTAAACAATCTACTAATTGTATATACCATTTTTGGACTGAAAAAAGAAAAACAGTAGGTTTCTAAGAGTTTATAATTACATACATTAATGTATATAAATTTTAACTATTTTGATTATTTGTATAATTAGAACCTACATATTTGGATATTAAATATGTATAGTTACAAACTTTTATGTTAAACCCTTAGGGTAATGCAAACATTTGATTAGAGGAAAATTTGGTTCCATATATTTAGTCTTTTAAAATTAAATTATCAACTTATGATTTCAAACTTTTACCTTCTGGTGTTGCCTTTTCTCTCATAACAACCATTGGAAGATACAACTTGGTGAAATCTATCAAATGGTTATATGTATAAACTATTTTAGTTTTTATAACATAAAAAAACATTAAATCATAAGCTGTTAAGATTTTCTGATGTTTTCACACTTGTATATTTGTAAATGTAAAGTTACTCTATGAGAATATTTCACATACACTTCATCTTTTTAAGTATCTAATACTGCATATTTTGTTTTATTTCTTTCACGCTTTGCTTTTGATGTGCAATGTCAAAAAACAAGCAAATAAGTTGAATAGATGTTAACAGAGGATTATTAAACCCCCCACCTAACAATGATAAAATGATTACCCTACCAGCCAACACATCTGCTTGTTCTAGTAATGTGCTTTGTGCTGCTGCTACCATAGTGATCGCATCTTTCATTGTCAGATTTTTCTCAGACGTCTTGTCTACACATTCCATTACTCTTGCTTTGATCTACATCGTCAAAATATTCGAAGTAGCTTCAATAGATTTACCAGTAACAGCAGTTAAGTTAAATATATCACATTAAACACACATGATTTGAAACAAAACAAGGAGTAGGCCTATTTACCTGCTGTATAAAATCATTGATGCTACTTTGTAGGTGAAAACTTGACTCGTCCAATAGCTCGAGCTGGGTAGTTAATTTTTTTCTTTAAGTGGTCAGACATCTGCATGAATACATTAAATGAATATTAATTTACGTTGACACATATCATCTTCTAAATTGTAAAAGGAACTTGACCCTTCCAATCTTTAGATTTAAATTATTTTTTATAATTTTAATTATATGCAATTTTTAACATATCCAAATATGCAGTGTGCCTTTTTACACAGTTATTGCAAGCGTTCTATTATCGTGCGACTTAAGACGACTTTACATTGATGTATCGTTTCTCATCCTCCCTACCTAGCAGCTTAACAAAAGCTGGCAAAAACATGAGGTTTAAAATTTATGTTGCCATAAACCTAGTTCTTAATTTCGCGAATGTTGTACATTTTATTTCTGTTGTCATGGACCTAGTTATTGTATTCGTGATTATTGTAGCTTTCACTTGTATGAAACGTGGTGAGTGTGGGGGCTATTGGGACAATAAGGTAACACATAGTAGCTGGATACTGTCCTCAGAAGTAGTGGTCTAGTGGTAGAATGCTTGTCTACTAGAAAGTCGCAGGTACGAAACTAATCTGCTCCACATATTGAAAACATCGTGTGTTTAAAATTATAGGAACCAAATAGCACAGGTCTGGAAACCGACATAGTGGTTTAAGGTTAGCTCAATTAAATAAAAATAAGCATTATCCGTTTTGACTAATACATCCTCACAATAAATCAACGTGTAGTTTCATCTACCAACAATAACAATATTGAAATTCCTGCCATTGAAACTAGTTTTCTAAATTGCGTGGGCCCGTCCTAAAGTCCAGGGTTGGTTGCTAGATGAATGTGAGAAGATCCACACGGAGCAACCTTCATAATAATGAACATATATGGTGGGGTTTCTAATTGACATCAATTTACAACAATGACCAATGGCTCTGTCACTACATAATATTTCAGATAATATGGACGCTATATTAACATTATCGTATTATGTATAAAATTATATGAATCTAAAACGTAAAATTTCCGTAAAATACAAACACATTTAAATCCCAAAATGTGTTGGCTCTATGACCCTCTCATGTATCACAGAAAGACAGTGTCGCTACTGCATCAATAAGACACATCTGGTGTCTCTATCGGTGATGCCCCTCTACACACGATACGCTCGTCGCGATTTCACACACATCTCAAGCACACAATTTTCCTTGTGTTCATATCACAATATCACATTATACACGTTGAACACATAACAATATCATGTGTAAACATCAAGAGCTTTTAGGGTTGTTTTTTTTATTTAGTACACATAGCAATCTTTTACCTTACATAGTGTACACATCACAAGTTCATATTTAAATTGTGTTTACATCACATTTTAATAAAAAAGTAAATAACTTTAGTATAATCAATATAACATAACCAATATTGTTTAAAATTATATAAACATTTATTTGTTATGCTACTTATTCCACATTTATGTGATGGATGTTGTGATGACAAATCACCATGGATATTTATTGATACTGACAAGACAATACTCATGAAATAAAGTCATAAAGCAATGTTTCAAGCAATTTATTAAATACAAATTTGAACTAACTACCTGTAAGGTGCAGATAAACACGTCGGTAATATCTGTCAGAGTTTCTTCCCCACACCCCTCCCCCCCCCCCCCCACCACCCCAAAGTAAGTCTTTGAAAGTAACACTAGTAGCTGTTAATTAAATAATTCTACTTGCAATATTCAACTTACTTTTGTAAAACTTTCAATAGAATACATAAAAAAAACAATGTTTTATGATTAAACTACAATCTCAAGTATACGCCCACTTTAGGTTTGATCAGAGTTACTGGCCATAACATGGGACTTCCCCGATATGACATTGTTATTTATATTTGTATATTCAATGTAAAAAAAAAACTACGTCAGTAATAATAAGCGGTAATATGAAATATTCGGTAAAAAAAAGAAATATATAAAAATGCATCACTATTTAAATAACTAAAAAATTCTTACAATTTTCGGGTGGCGGACTAAAATTTCCTCGGGCGGAAAGTATATATTTTACATATAAATTCAATTTCGCTCGAGGAGGGGCGGTAGAGATGCCTGGAAGAAACTCTGTTTCAGTGTTAGCCAGCCCAACGCTACCAAATTCACTGATTCCATTACAAGCTATAGGAGCTTCAGCATAACAGGTGAGATTAATATATCTTTCTCTAGTAGCCTACACATTATAGGACCATCGGGTGAGCTTGATATATCTTTCTATAATACAAAATATAGGAGTAGGTAGTCCAAACTGAAATTAACTATTGATTGCAGACTTCTGGAGTGAGTATGTCATGAAAGAACTTTTAATTGTAAGGTCTATGCCACAAATTTTATAAAAATATCTCAATAAATAAAAAAGTTATGCGATTTTTAAAAAAGCAAAATTTGGTAAAAAACTGATTTTCAAAAAGTGCCATTTTTGAGAACCCATATTTTTTAAACTAAATAACATAGAAGTGTAGAAATTGGTAAAGTTGCTGCAAAGTTTGTAATATATATGCCCAATTTTTTTCAGTCATCTAAAATGAGTCTTTCTAAGGTAAAAAAATAATTGAAAATGACAAAAATGCGTTTTGGTCACTTTTATTTTCATAAAAAAAAAAAAAATTCAATTTTTTTTTTTTTTTTTTTGCTTTGGAATAACTCTAAAACTATTGTGTTGGTAACATCAACGTGGAAAAATGTGTTAATTATTTTCAAAAATCACATGAGTTAAAATATTATTTTAAAAAATACCACAGTTATCTAGTGCAGGAGAAACAGAATCAAAATTTAGTAGAGTAAATGTAATGTAATGTAGTTTAATAAAGACGTGATGCCTACAAGTGATGCAGCAGTTGATGCCACATGCTTTGGTTTCTTTTCAAACCTATACGGTTGATAACTGCTTTGGGGGAACAGTTTTTAAAACTACAACTCCACATCTTTGTACGTCTTGTTTCCCTCAACCTTGATCTTGTGGAGCATCAAGAGTAAGTAATATGTTTTGGGAATTGTAGGGGGGAGTGGGGTCTTGGCCTTCTTCCCTTCCCTTGTAAGGAAAGTTCTGGATAGGCCACTGTAAATGTCTCCAGCTATGGAATAAACAATTGATTTAGTGATTAATAAAATAGAATTAAATTTACTACCAGCCTATTGTGTAGGCCTACTATTTGTCCTATGACTATAACTGGAAACATATGAAAAAGCCTGAAAACACCTTTTTGTTAAAAGTAATTTATACTTTATATATATTTTTAAGAGTAATTCTACTGAATGAAATTTGAAATATTCGTTGCTTGTGCCACACTGGTTGAGATATCCAATAATGAAGATGCCATACTGTGGTTCTCAACATCCTTTAGGACAACTTAACTGTCCTTCATTGTTACTATTATATGCATATAAAATAAATAAATAATGAGAAATACTACTAGTACTACTTACACTTACAACTAATATAACATTTAAAACTAAGTCACAACATGTAGAATCTTAATAAATTGCACCACCATCTAAAAATTGATCTGGTACATTTTATTACGGAGACTGGCGCAGACCATTTCACATTATTTAGCAGGGGAATCAGAATCAGAGCACACAATAGAAAATAAAAAAAATTAATCACATTAATCCTTAAAATTTAGTGTCTTTTGTTTTAAATAAATCAATAAAAATGTATAGTTATTATAATTATACATTTCTTTTGTGTTTCATTAATATTTTATAAGTATCTAACCTTCGTTCCCTGTAAATAATTGAGTTCGTCCACATAGTAACCAAGATAGTCTGGTGGCCATTTTGAATTTGTCGATTCATAATTTTGACGTGATAGTCCAGATAAACTGTAGTAATACGACCCTATCATTGATCCCAGTCAATAGATTTTAAAGAATTAGTAAACACTAGCATCTAATAGTTAAGTGCATCCATATTTTAAGTCCCTAGAATGTCCTGAATTAAATAGCTTCACGTCTAAACACACCCTGTGTACAAGCGTAGTTCACACGCTAAAACCGTGGACTTGAAGCGTTCAAATTTACATTAATAACGTGTACTAATTAAACCAAACTGACATTCAAACTTAAAATTCATTTATTAAAATGGAAATGAAACTTTAAAAATGATACTTACAACTTGTTTGAAGGCTCTAGCAAGGGTAAAATCCGTTTAGCATCATCGGTCGTCAACCTTTAAAACCGTTCGGCGAGCAACTTACTCGGGGCTGAAAGTCGACTCGAGGGTTATATGTTTATTGGGGGTAGGGCTTCGCGACCGTAAATCAGAAATACTTGAATTTACAACACAAAGTAGTTATAAAACTGAACTTTACATCGGTGTAAAAATTGAAACAGAATTAGTTTGTTTCCGTGTATATATCGTCATTTAAAGTTTAAAATCTGTATTTTTTAAATGAAATAAACAAGTTATTTTATCAATTTATACATCAAACGATAGCCTAGAATTCGGTCTTTAAAATGACATTAAGATTATGCTTCTACGATGCTTCGTCGCGAAGCCGCGACCAAATAAAACAGTGTGGGGTCGATCGGTACACGCAAAACGGTGAAATTTGTTGACGTAACTGATACTTTTCAAACAAATATAAAACACATTCAGACATGTGTTACAGATATAAAAATACCAGATTACGACAGATAAAGACTTAAACTTTATTGACATATAATTTTTATTCTTATAGGACAACTAGAAGTAGTGAAATTTTTTTTTTGAAAACCGCAAAAACTGACCATAAAACGCACTTTTTCGCCAGTTTGGACTACCTAATAGGAGCATTATTAACATCTTTTTTATCAATTGTCACACTTGGGTATCTGTCCGCATTTTAACTTTCACCAGTCACTCTATTCACGTAAGTGCACCTGTAAGAAACACTTTGCATCACTAAAGATTTGTTTCGTGAGTTATAGTGAAATGAAACAATTATTTTAGATAATCGGATTTTCCCCATATTATTTTATCAGCTTACTGATCATAGATCTAAAAAGTAAATAGGACTCGCAATCGTATACGTTCTCTAAATGTCTAAATATTTTAAATCAACTTAAAATAAAATAATGTTAATATTGTAATATGATTTATTCGATTTCTATGAGTATAACAGTATAACTAATATAACTGTAGTATAACAGTATAACAGCCTGTCTTTAGATCTTGTTTTAATGTGTAAGAACTAGATCTAAGTTCTAAGTGTTTAAGCTACATTTTAATAGCAATTAAAACATTTTTTCATGAAACAAAAAAAAAATGATTTTTAACAAGATAAAATTCATGCCGATGACAGACCCATTAAAGAAACATTTAACTACCCAGCTCGAGCTATTGGATGAGTCAAGTTTTCATCTACAGAGTAGCATCTGTGATTTTGTAAGGCAGGTAAATACAAACAGATATGTTCACTATGCGTTGACAATTATAATATTGCATTTAAAAAAACATGTTATTTCAGAATCCTTTAATTTATATAACCTTTATTCCCTAACACAAAGTTATATAGACCTCCATGTTTGCTATACACATACAATGTATAACACTGTATAACCATGTTTAATGTATTCTTTTAAAGTAGTTCATATCCCATGGTTTCTATTTTATAAGTTTGTCTTTTATTCACATGCAATTTTGAGTATCAAAACATTTTATTTAGTTTTAATTTTTTTCTATTTCTCATTGTGATGCCTTTAATCATGTTTACTAACATGTATTCTGTTTTAATACAAAAGTAAAGCATAATTTCATTCCAAAAACCTGAGTCATTAAATTATTTGGTTTATAAATTTAGGCATCCAATAACACTTTATATTAACACTGTTTTAATTCACCAGCTTCTGGGCCTATTCTTTAACTTCAATTTTTTTGTGACCAATGGTATTAAAAGGCGCTACATGGCAGTTGTTCTAAAATAAGTCCTACTATTATTCTCAACCTTTGCAGATTAAAACAAGAGCTATGGGGTATTTAGACAAGACTTCTAACACCAATATGACAATGAATGATTTGCTAATTTTGGTTACAAAAGCACAAGGCTCAATCATGGAACACACATATATGTTAATGGGTATATTCATATCTTTTTTATTTATTGTTGATACTTTGCTCATGTTTATTATTTACAATTTTTTTTAGTTTTCAACTATAAAATCATTGTGCGTTTAAATGTATTAAAAACATTTTAAAGATATAAATAATTTATACAAATTCCCATCATTACTCGTTACCAGTATTTAACTTTCTTTTTAGTGAAAATTTTTAATTTATATGAAATAAAGTATTAGCAAATATTATATTTTGTTGACAGAATCCACAAAAATGTACCCTCCAACAGTGATTACACAAGAAAAGACAACACCAGATAGAAAAAATTTGAAACCAGGAAATGAAAATATTTCAAAAGACTTTACATTTGGTATAAACATTTTATTCTCTCACTTTAAGTTTGTATTCTGGCTGGCACTTAAGCAGTGAAAAAATAAAAGTAATACAATGTGCAGTAATACATTTTAACACTAATTGTTTAGCCAAATTAAATTTTGCACGTATGGGAAACACCAAAATAGTTAAAATTAAGGATATATTTATGTGCTACAACAATTTCAATACAACTGGATGCAATATAAAGATAATAAAACTGTAAAATAAAACTTTGTCTAAACAATATATACATATATATATATATATATATATATATATATATATATATATATATATATATATATATATATATATATATATATATATATATATATATATATATATATATATATATATATATAAATACATACATACAGTTATATATATATATATGTATATATATATATCAATATATATAATTCAGAATTAACCGAAAGACTAAACGCTATTGCAACAGCTCTATCTTCTCTACAAGACACAAAGCAAAAGAATGAAGATGACATATCAGAAATAAAACGATGGAAAGATGATTTTGTTACAGAACAAAGTGCCATGATGATAAAAATTGATAAGTTTTCTAAGAAACAAAAACAGGGTTTTAAAAACTTTAGGAAACAATTAAATGAACAAAATAACAAAATAGATGTGCTGAGCAAAATAATTGAAAAATTAGAAGAAAAAGAATCAACTGCAAACAATGAACTAAGCAAAGTGTCACTGGATTTGAAAGAACATGAAAACATCTTAAACAAAATAAACAAAGAGTTGAAAGAATACACAGATAAAGCAGAAAATTTATCACAAGAAATTAGGAGCCATTCTAGTTTGATATCTACAATAAAAGAAGATGGGGAGAACCATATAATGTATACAACAAAAACATGTGAGAAATTAATATCTAAGGTGAGTTAAGAACAAAATAAAAGAGCTGTATTAATCGGAATACTCATGATAAGTTCTAGTATTACAAACAGATTACATTGCAAACATTTTGATCAATCTTTGAATTAAAAATTATACTGCTTTTACCCAAAAGTAAAATGCAAATAATAATTATACTCAACAGCATGTTGTGATATGTAAACTTCTACAACAAAGATTGTTGTCCATTGACAAACTGATTGAATCGTATAATAAAAGCCCTGAGTCTAGGGAAGGAACATCAATGAAGGTAAAATTCATATTATTATGTTTTTCTTTTACACAGTTTTGCACTTTTCACTCTTTACTTTGGGTTTAATTGTAACATATTCACAATGATTTTTATAATATAATATAAATCTCTGCATAGTTACAATTTTTGTATCACACCTACTTTTGAAAATAATGTATAGACGTAGTAATGTAATGTTTCGACTACATTATGTAAAGATACATTTAGTTGTTGGTTTGATTTTAATAGCAGAAAATTAGAAAACATTACATACAATTACTTTTTATAACCATTATAACTAACTACATGTAAATAATACCTTGTTATAGTTTTACAAAATATAGTACAGAAAATGAAAAAATACTTAACATTTAATATATTAATTATGTTCCATACAGTGTATGTGTTCACTGTTTTGAAGTATAAATTACCCCTCCCCTTTTCCCAAAGAACATTGTCTGAAGGAAAACCTAATTGTCATTTCTGAGTTGGAATGGTTTATTGTTATTTAAAATAGATACATACTGTAACAAATGTTCTGTTCTTAGATTGAAACTCTGGAAAAAGATGTTTCAAAGTTGTCACAGGATTATCAAACAATTGGTAGGTGATTTATATTTGTGAAATTGTTGACTTTAAACTCTTAATACAATTCATAAAGTCTACTTCATTGTCCCATGGACCATTAGGTTGAAAGCAAAACTGTGCTTTGTTTTTGAATTTCACATAACTAATTATTGTTTTCCACTATCCCTCTCAACTCCCCTCTCCACCTCCCTTCTCCACTTCACTTCACTTCACCTCCCCTCCACCTCCACTCTCGTATTCCCTTCTCCATCTCCCCTCTCCACCTAAACAAAATACTGGTTTAACTTGTTTCTGTTTCTGTTTACTTTTATCTCTTATTTCACTGTGTTTTGTATTTTCTTTATTATTGGATCGTGTATATAAGGGATATAATATTATACATGTGACGAAAGTTGCTGTGGGAGACGTTAAGTGATAAGCGGCAATAAACAAACTACAACATTTGTCAAACCAAATATAGTCTGTTGTACGAATTCGTAATGTAATCTTCTGCTTCAGGCTGACTACTCTGTTATAGTATGACGTATAATAGTCGATGGATATTGTAATAAATATCGTTAGAGTATCATAATTTCTAATGAGCAGAGACAATCTTGTATTTTATTTCTTGCAGCCAATCATATAAAGGAATTTATTGCACCTGGGTTTATTGCTTCACAAGGTCGCAAAGACAAAAATCATACGATTACATTCGCTGCTGTAGAACGTAACGTAGGAAACCATTTTGAACCAGAAACTGGAGTGTTTATCGCCCCTTTTGATGGCCTGTATAAAGGAAGTCTTACAGTAAAACGAACAGGAAATATGGCTGTTCGAGCTTGGGTTGTGCACCAATCTGGTGGTGTGGAGTCATGGCCCGGAGAAGTTGGGACTAAAAAGAAATCTGTTGAAGCTTCAACAACATTTAAGGTTCAAATGAAACCTGGTGATGTGTTATTTTCATCCACTTTATCTGATAATTGTGAATGCACGCATTTCTCTTGTGTTCTTCTTGAGGTCTAACTTCCATACATCATAACGCAACTATTACATGCCATTGTTTCTTACAGACTTTTTTGTTCTGGGGGGGGGGGGCACTTGGA